GGTATCAAGTTCAGAGCATTGGGAAAGAACGGTCATCAGAATCGGGAGATTCTGAAGTTTTCTTTGCTCACCCTACACACATCTAGAATCGTAAAAACATCTGGGAGGCATCCCGTCAGTTACTGTTTATATTCTGTGTGTGCGAACAGTCAGGAAACAAAGCCACTATTGAGCTGTATAAATGCAAAAAAAAAGAGATGGGAATGAATGCCGGCCTTCTGGAAATGCTATTTTTTCACTTTGGGATAACTCCAGTAACCAAGTAGAATTTTCTGATACACTTGCCAAGGAAAAGAGCTGAGGTTGAGAACTAGCCTAAGATATCGTAGCTTATTGTATGTTTTGGAGAAGAAGGTAAGACAAGCGAGCTCTAAATACACATATAAGTGGCATTTTGCCTTTGTTTTTGAAATTACATTGTCACTTCTTCATAGGAGCAGAGATATTTTAACATTCACCGTGAATACAATTCACGGGCTTTACTTGTTTACTCCAAAAAGTCTAAATATCATCAGGCCCCCAGATGTTGACCCGGCCTCAGCTGTGTTAACATTCTACTGCCTTCGCTCCCTTTTTCCATTTTTCTGTAACACTTCCTCCTCTTCCCACTAAGAAAATCACAGCAGCTCCAAAATGAAACTTTATTTGAAGTTTCTCTATATTAGATGCATATAAAAGCCAAACTCTTAAGGCAGAAAGGAGCATTGTATCTTGTTCCATTTAACTCTGTGTGTGTGTGTGTGTGACTGACCTTTCACCTTCCTGCCCCAGTCTTGCCACCTTTCAAATATTTCAGAGTAGTGAGAAACTTGGGAGATCTTGGAAATAAAAAGAGAGATCCTTTTTATGGTACCAGGTAAATGTCTCAGTTTTTCTCTCATCAAAACGCATTGTCCCAAGTCCCAAATCCACAATAGCCACCCCACACATACCCCACTCGGGACCCGGAATTGTAATGAGGATCCCAGCTGTGTGGTTAGCTCATATTTCTCAGAGTCTGTGTAGCCATGACAGTATCAAGATGATAATAAGAGGAACTTAGAAATACACCTTTTTCCTCGTTTCTCAGCACACTCCCCAAAAACTAGCTTCTCAGCTGTGCTTGTTTGTCCCTGTTTCATGCTACTTAAAGCAGGCCTTGTCAGTGAATTTTCTCACTGTTATATGTAAGATTAATGGTGTTCACAAGGATTTCTGGGCTTAGACATAATTCTGTCATGTATAACCCCTTCTCTTTGTCTTATACTTAAAAAAGCATATTTTCATTGTTATCATTGTTTTTAGTAAGTTATTTATTATTAGTAACCAGTAATTTTCCAACCAATCTAGACCCACCATGGTTGAGAACCTCTGGTTTAGGTCATTCCATGTCAGTCCTGGCCTTGTCCTTGATGCCCCTCCATCCTTTGTTTCATCTCCTGCTGATGGGGATTCCTTATTCAGAACACATTTACAGAGTACCCAGAGAGGTGGCCCTAAAGCTCAGCCTGCCTTTCCCTGGGGGAGCCAGACCTACATAAACTCACCATCCTGTGGGATGTACTGTCAGGGTGCAAAGAACAGACTTAGGGGATTTGAGGAGCTTCAGATCTTTGAATTCAGAGATACAAAGTTGGAATTAGGCGTGGAGGAGGAGGATTTTAGAGTAGAAGAGGGGAAGGCATTCTAGGCAGAGAGAAAAAGTAAGTAAAGGTGTGAGTTTGGTGGCATAGTCTGACTAGGACACACTGAATGTGTCCAGAACATGGGATGCACGGAGGCAGCTGAGGCGGATGGTGGTGTGGCTGGGATGGGTGGGTCATGGCCTTAAAAAGAGGGAGCGAGGGGTTTGAGCTCTGTCTTATGTGCAGACGGAAGCTTTGGTGAAGCTATAGCAGTCGGGGACTTGGTGGAGGAATAGGATTGACAGGTGTTAGAGGGATGGGGTGGAGAGACCCAGAGTCAGGAGACCAGTCTGGGCACTGTTGTACTGAGCCAGCCTGTCCACAATTGGAGGCCAGATATCTTTATTTTGTGGGTTTTTTGTTTTTATTTTTAAGTTTATCTATATAGTCCATGCTGGAACAGAAAAACAGAGCACCTCTGACAGGTTTCCAATGTGGTGATCATCCCCAACCAGCCCAAATCATGGGCATACATATGCTTAGAGAGGTCTCTGAACACAAACCAGCAACCCTTCCAATTGAGTCAGCCTCACAGAGCATCACTTTTTACCACTCTCTGGCCCGTCTTTATGTTTTCAAGACAAGCATCAAGGGTGCCCAATATAGTCTTGTGCTCTGTAAATAGTTGAACTTTGTGTGTGTGTGTGTCATATATGTTTCCTCAGACAAGCTTTCACTATGTCTTAATCCTGCTGCCTCAGCCTCCGAGTAACTGGAACTATGGGCACATACCACTGCACCCTAGTTTTCAAGTGGGCCAGGAACCCTGGCCTCCATGCGGTCTCAGCCTACCAAGTAACAGCATCTAGCACATGCTACTACATCTGGGTCAGTGATCATTGAACTTCATTTGAACAGTTGACTGTGGAAGTTGAAGAAAAGAAGGAAAAAAATGGCTACCAGATGTTTAGCTTGGGGGGGTCAGCTGGTGGTGTGGTGGTGAAGGCTGCTAGATCCCACATGGCCAGCTCCACTGTTTGAGTCCCAGACTCAGTGGCTTGAGAAACATGCTGGGCATGTGTGTGTGTGTGTACATGCGCGTATGTGCACACGTGACCAAAATCCCAAGAGGAGAGGGGACAATGGCATGCCCATCCTCCCTAGGAAGGCCTTCCCTCACCTTCCCTTTCTCTCTCACTGGCCAGCATATACACCCCATAGCAAATTTTTTTTCTCTCTCTCTTTTTTTTTTTTGGAGAGGTTTTTGCTCTAGGGCGCGTGCGCTCGCCAGAGAGAGAGAGAGAGACAGAGAGACAGAAAGCAAGAAATCACCCTCCAGGGGGGATGGCCACACCACAATCCCTTCTCCTTTATTCTCCTCTCGAGATCTTGGGCACGTACACACATGCACCTGGCGTGAGTTTAAGCCACTGAGTCTGGGACTCGAACCGCGGTTGACTACGTGGAAGTCCAGCGACATAGCCATTACGCTAACTGCTGGTCCCTATAGCAAATTTTTTTAAAAAAGAAAGAAAAAATGTTTAACTTGAGATAACAATATGGAAGGGATAGGTTTGAGGTATGGAGATGTGGTGGAATGGCAAAAAACCTGTCTATGTTTTAGGTTAATTTTTTTTTCCATGAGCAAGCTACAGAGACACAAGCATTCACTCCTAACAGGGTCCCAGTGCCACAGTCCTTCACCAGCCTCAGCCAGCCCCAGTAATGGGCACATGGATGCCCTACATGTTCATGGTGGTCTCTAGATGCGCACCTGGAACCTTCCTGTGTGGGTCAGCCTCTTGGAGTGTTGTGTGACTGCACCACCACCAGCCCCCCAAAACTAATTAGTTTTTTAAAGTTTTGATTTGAATTGCTGGTGAGGGTGTTCAAGAGAGATATCTAGGGAACCAGCAGTTAGCATAATGGCTATGTTGCTGGACTCCCACATAGTCGACTGCGGTTCGCGTCCCGGACCCGGTGGCTTAAAACTCACGCCGGGCGCGTGTGCGTGCGTGCCCAAGATCCCGAGAGGAGAATGGAGGAGAAGGGATTGCAGCATGACCATCCCCTCTGGGGGGTGACTTCTCGCTTTTTGTCTCTATGTCTCTCTCTCTCTGTCTGGCGAGCGCACACGCCCTATAGCAAAAACCTCTCCAAAAAAAGAAAAAAAAAAAGAGAGAGAGATATCTAGGAGACAGCTAGAGGGAAATATGGGCTTTCAAGTCAGATTCACCTCATGGGCATGAATGAATCTGGAAGCTATACTTTTTAGTGTCCTTATTCTTTTTCTGTTAGAAAAGCTTCTCAGTGTGATTCTCTTATCCGTTCTGTCAGGTTCCTATACCTCAGCCCCCATCTTGCCCTGCTGCAGAAGATTCATGGGTTCAAAGAAAACTGTCTTCTGTAGGGGATACAGTAGTTTAGCATACAGGGCAGTGGGCTATGAACAATTGACCCTGAACGAGTGACTTAGATTCTGCTTCCTCAGCTATAAAATGGAAATGACCTTTCCTGTTACTGGAGTCAAGTGATTGCTGCCAGTGTTCACTTCCTGAGAAAATGTCACTGTTGTTAAGGTTCTGTTCGCACCTACTCACCTCTTCAGTATCGCTTGTTGCCTTCTCTAGGTTGCCCTTTTACCTATAGAGTCCAGAAAGAAGAGGGGGAAAAGTCTGTCCTGTCCACAAAGCTCCAGATCTGCCTTCAGAGCTCGTCGGCAGGTTAAGGATCCCTAACTTTAGAATCAGACATATGAGGTTCCTGTGCAGGCTGAGCACTCCCCCACAGTGATTTAAAAAAAAAGTAATTCTAATTAATTCAACAGCTGCAGTTCTAGGCTTTTTTTTTTTAATGGAGGTTTTTATAGTGACACCACTAACAACCAGAAACTACAAATCCTAAGTAGCAAATTCAGAACATTTACTCCAGACTTTTGAGTATTAAAATCAGAAGATAAAGAAGTACAGAGAATGTACCAGTGTCAGTGTGTTCATATGCTTTGGGAGGACCAGTGTGAGAAATTGGAATTAATTGCCATGTTCGTGTCACTCGAGTTCAGTTACCCTCAGTTCTGCCACACCAGGAAACTGTATAAGCAATTCAGCCAGTTGAATTTGGGCAGCTTTTAGAAGCATGTATGTTTTCTAGATCTTTTTTTTCCTCCCTGTTATTTTTTGACACCCATCCCCACTCTCTTCAAGGCAGTTTTCCAGCTGTTCCCCTAGGGAGTAGTTTTCTGGGGAAGCTTCTTTTGTGGGCTTCCAGCTGGCTTCATTTTCACTATCTCCATGAAGTTGCTGCCTTTGTCACATTTATATGATGTTATCCATCATGCATTGCCTTGGGGTTTTCCCTTTGAATTGTTGACTTCCTATTTTTGGTTTGTACATGCAGGCTGTCTCCTGGTTCGGACATCTATGTGACGGTCTCGTCCATGGCTTTAGCAAGATCCCAGTGTCGTAACTCCCCTAGCAACCTGTCTTCATCCAGTGAGACTGGCTCTGGGGGGGGCACTTACAGACAAAAGTCCATGCCCGAAGGGTAGGTATGCCGTGTGTCCCATCGTACATGGTCCCCATTGACATCTCCATCTTTCATCTGTATTCAGACGTGTGAGATGATTTCCATTTAGCCAGCCTTGATCATTTTGCAGACAAACAAGAGGGAAAGCATTGGCAAATTCTAGATAGAAAAATGTTTTAATAGGTCACACTACATTGTAGGAAGTTTATCATTCTCTAGTCTCTACAAAGAACTCAGGGGCAAGGAATCAAATTGCCTCAGTTCCTCCGTTACAAATATTACCTAGTCTCACAGTACAGACGTTGTCACTTCTTACGTTTCCTCCAGAGTAATTCAGCAAAATGCTCTTTGCACCAGTCGGTATTGCTGTTAATTGGGGAAATGATGGGCACATCCAAACTGAGTATTGTACTTATCTCGCACTTTGAGCCTGCTTTGTTGTTTTTTATCTTTCCTAAAAACACTGAATGCCCCAAAGTAACTATTTACTTTTGACTTACAAAGTAAAGAGCAAAATGTACACAATTTTAAAAACTATTAAAATAACAACAAAAAAAGGTTGGACCAGTTGAGGCTGGGAGGTAATTAGCAAGAAAACACTACAGGGTATACAGGAGTCCCTCTACCCAGAGGAAGAGGAAATGAGCCATCGAAGACTCTAGCTGGGATTTTTCTCTCAGGAACTTGACAAGGATCTTGGACCATCCAAAAATCAAATGTGAGGTGTTCAGAAAAAACTCATGTTTTTATTCTGTGTTTTCCCCAAATATATTTTTATGAAATAGATGTATAATTGGGGTATCTTCTTGAGATGTCACCATGTCACAAACTAAGCATGCTTATTAATAATACCTCCACAATGGGTATTTTTTGGGATTGTTTTGTGGGTTTTTACAACTATTAAGAATGATTTTTGGTGTTGTTGCTAAATGTTTGTTAACAGAAAGTAGATCATAAAAATCACAGTAAAATAGACTTTTCTCATCCCACTATTCTCCTCCAAGACTTCCTTGGTAGCCTGTCCAAAGTGTACGTTTCTTATTTTAATTACTCCGGTGACAAAAAGAAAAAAAAAACAAACTTGAGCTCTTATTCATAAGTCTCTTCAAAATGATATGAATTACATATCTTTGTACCATACCTCAAGCCTACTAATTATTTCTTGTTCTAATTAGTAAATTGTAAATGGCGTGGTCTGACTTCAAAACTGAGGACTCACTGTAACTGTAGCTAGAATTAGCACAGCAACAAAACGTGAGCTTAAGAACAACGATGAAAATAACACTGTTTTCTTCTGTTGGGATTTATTTAAATGTATACCCAGAAAACTAAGCTGAAGCATTAATGTGTTGGCGAATAATAATGTTAAAAACATGATTCCCATGCTCATGCTACTAAATTCTTGTTAACAAGATGATAATTATTCAGCTTGGTATTTAATAACTACAGCTAGCATCGGTGGCATTTAGGGTTTTCCCCACTGTTTGTGAGATTACCCAGGATTATTTACAGTACTGTATAATCTCTTTTTTACCTGAAGTAATCTTTTACAAGATGATGATGATGCCATCTTCCTTTAGATCCTGAGGAAATGTTGTACATAGCAATGCTGTAAGAATTAGGGCTCACTGTCTTCATCTACTCACGAGCCAGGCTTGATGCTGAAGTTACCCTTACCAAGGGGAAACAGATTATGCCTACTTTCCTGTTCACCCCGGTAAAAGCAATACATACAGATTGACAGTGAAGCTGGATGTGTATGGTCTGCTGCAAACTCATTAGTGTTTAATTTTAAAACACTCGAGTAGGGGACCAGTAGGTGGCGTAATGGTTAAAGTGTTAGACTCCTACGTGGTGGATCACATTTTCAGTCCCTAACCCAATGGCTTAAAAATTACATTGGATGTGTGTGTGTGTGCATGTTTGCTCCAGATCCCAACAATGAGGAAGGATTGCGGCAAGGCAGCGGGGATGATTTCTCATTTTCTTCTCTTTCTCTCTCTGGTGATCACACGCACCCTATGGCAAAAATCTTATTAAAAGAAAAAAAAAAAAAACCCTCAAGAGCAGAACATCATAACATAAAGATTTTCAGTACATAAAGATTGCCCACAAACATAAAATACTACTTTGGTGTCCTCACTCCACTCCACTTCAGTGGGCTCAGCACTGTAATGAGATGTGTCTGTCCCTTCCCTCTTGGGAGGACATTGAAATTATCCAAATTAGTTGAGAAGTGTAATTGAATAGCCTGATTCATGAGACCTGTTCTACTTGAATGGGGAACAAAAGATACCTACACAAGAGGAAGATGGACATAAGAGGTAGTTAAAAAGCAGTGTTTGAAAGACACAGGGCCCATTCTACCCTCCCTGGAGACTGACTTCTGGGCCACATTTTTAGGAGGATTGAGAAAGCAGAGCATGTCTACAGCGAGGCCTGGGTAAATGAGGAGTTAGGAGACCATGTGTAAGAAACATCACTGAGGATGTGCAAGCGGAAGTTGAGAACTATTGAGGTGAAGAGGCCAGATTTCTTCCAGCACTCTTAGATGAGGGATTAAACCCATTTGTGAAGACAGTCAAGAACTGGAACTGAAAGTTACAGAGAAGGCCATTGTGAGGAAGAGATTTCATAGCCATCAGCCTTCCCTGGGCAGGAATAGACTATCTCATGATGCAGAGTTCTTGGTCTCTGGGTGTGTTTCATGTGTCAGACAGATGATTTCTTCAAAACCCTTTATATCTGTGACTATTAAATTGTTAAGTGTTTCTCCAAGGAAAGAAAGACATCATTAAGTTCAACAAGAGGCTATTGAAAAATTAAGCACAGGTTTGTCTGAGCTCCTCAAAGACTGGATCTTTGTATCGCTGATCCTCTGCCACACAATAAATGGTGTGTGTGTGTGTGTGTGTGTGTGTGTGTGTGTGTGTGTATAAGAAATGAAATTAAGGGATCAGCAAGTGGTTTAATGGTCACCTTGCTGGACTCCCACACAGCCAACTATAGTTCGAGTCCCAGACCCAGAGGCTTGAAACTCACACTGGGCCCATGTGCATACATGCCCAAAATTGTGAGAGTAGAATGGAGGAGAAAGGATTGCAGTGTGGCCATCCCCCTTGGGGGGTGATTTCTTGCATTCTGTCTTTCTGTCTATCTCTCCAGTGAGTGTATGGACCTTATAGCAAAAATCTCTCTTAAAAAGAAAAAAAAAAGAAGAAGAAATTAAAAGCTCACTGAGTGAAAACATGTCCTAAGGCAGAGTTTATAGATAGCTTTACATTTATTTAAAATAAAATAGCCAGAAAAGTGTGCAGCTTTAAATTCAGAAGCTTCAAAACTATCTATAGTTTCCACTGCTACCAAAAAGTAAAAGCAAGATTCACATCCATTTTTAACTTTTATTTAACCATGTGTGTGTTTGTTTTTTTAAAGTCTTAATACAAATTTAAAATAAGATCATAGAGTGAGCTTGAGTGCATTCACTGTTCTGAACTAACAAAGTCCCTGCTTTGGAGGCAATAGCAAACAGCCTAATCATGTATCCTTTTTTCCCCCTTAAATGAGCACTTTCACTGAAGGTTTTATAAATCAAGGTTTTGGTTTTTAGTAATGGCTCTATCAGTATATAGGGTAACTCAGCCTAGCAAGCCTTGTGATTCGGTATGTAAATGAAAAGCATTTATTCAGAAGTAAGTAGGAAATTGATATAATTTGTTTAGAAGAAATAGTTTATAGCCTTCTTTACTCTGTAGATGCTTTATATGAAGTTTCCTCCTTGGATCCATGTAATGGAATTGCCACCTTACACATAAGGAAGTGGAGGCAAACGTTAGTGACTTAGATCAGTCACGTTGGGCTGTGGAGTTGGGGCTTGGCTCCAGGTCTTCCTACTCTTTATCTCCTGTTCTCTCCAGTAACTCACTTTGCTGGTTCTGCCCATGCATTTATCAGTCAGCAAGTAAGACATTTACCAGAAAACAAGACACCCCTCACATGCATCGACTGACTCAAGCCATGCTTAGTCTTTTGTGTATAGAGTACTCATACATTCATTGGTAACCACACACAAATTAGCAAATTTCCACATTAGTGTTTGAATTCTACACTCAGGTCCTTTTCATGGGCTCAGTATTTACTTTGCTGACATTGCGAATCAAGGCATAAGCTTGTATTAAACTTATATTATTATTATTCTCCATAGGGAAAAATAAAATTGGCTCTTTCCAGAAATAGACTCATGCCTTTATACCAGTTTACCTGCTTCCAAATTGCCCTTCCCAAAGGTAATTTAAAATTGCACAGTTTGGAAATGGTTCCTATGTAATATAAAAGATATCAGTCGTTTTCTTATAGCACAGAGCAAGTGCTCAGAAATCATTTTATTCTTCTTGTTCGAGAAAGAATGAATGACTTAATGGTTCAGTAAATTATCAAGTTAAGAGAAATCCCTAAAATGTGCCATTTGGAAGAGATACATGGAACATTTAGATTGTGAAATTTCTCCTCTGGCCACAGAAGACAATGAATTTGGGTCTACAAGGGCTAGAAGATTTGGCCTCTTGCTCTGTTTAGCTTAGATTAGCTCAGTCCTAGTGGCTCCTGCCGTTGTTCACAGTTTATACACATACACACATTACCTTTCTGAGCAGAGCCGTGGATACGACCATAATACACACATTCATACACACGTACTCATGCACGGGGTGCCTATACAAGTACAGACGTGTAAGCAAAAACCAGCAGGACTCACCATTAAGAGTTTAGTTCATGATACCCTGATGGGTGAAGTCCCTAATGCTGTCTCTGCCTTTGTTGGGGGAACCACCACAGGTTTGGAGTGAGCCGCAGATCCCCAGCCTCCATCGACAGGCAGAACACTCAGTCAGATATCAGTGGAAGCGGAAAGTCGACACCCAGCTGGCAAAGAAGTGAGGATAGCATTGCCGACCAGATGGGTAAGTAATTAATTCCTACAGTAAGCAAGTTGCTTTTACAAGGTAACTTTGGCCACGTCTTGATGATGTTAGTAAAGCATCTCTCTTGTAAAAGATAGCCCTAGTTAATAAATGTGCATTAGAATTGAGTCCCTTTTAGATTATGTGTAAGCGAAAGCAACAAGTTATGACCTGAGAAAAAAGTTAAGGAATTAATAGTGACCCCAACTTTAAAAATAGAAAGGACATAGAGTTTATTTTCAATACCAAGATTAAAAGACCCTACAGAGTACCAAAACTCCATATGTCCCGAGTCCCTTCCTCCTCCCCTGCTGGTTTGTTTTTGTCCAGCATAGACAGTGCCTTGGTATGCTTAATGTTAATTATAAAAAAAATAAATAAATAATTGAAGAACAAGGTTATGTACAAGGTGGAAGAGATACAATTGCTGTTGAGTCACATCTATAACTTGGTTAGAATCTCTTTCTTCCCTTCCCTCTCCCACTTTAAAAAAAATTCTTTCCACTCTGCTATTAAGCTGTCAGCTAAGGAAATATCTTAGCAGCATAAAACAGCTGGTTGGAAAAGATTTGCATTAGCGAGCCCTCATTTGGATCTCTGGTGCATAGAAACAGGTTAAATCACTTACCTCTTTTATGTATGTTGTTCTACAGTGACACCACTATACTAGTTGTTATAGTAAAATTTTGCCATGAAAGTACCTTAAGTTTCAGCACAGTAGCATCAGGGATTTGATATCAACACAGTTGATACATCAAGGATTTGAATCTAGACTGTTATGTTGATTTATTGGGCGTGGGGTTTGGTTTTATTTATTTTCTCCCCTACTTTATCATATCTCTAATAGCATTCCCATCATGTGGGATAAAAAGATACAAAGGTCAGGACTAAAAAATTAAACTTGTAGGTTAAGAACCATCTTTTTATTATTTCTGCAAATCCATTGTTTTGTAGTACAAGTCAATGTTAAGTGTAGTACAAGTGAGTGTAGCAACCGTGAACATAGGAGGGAGAGGAGGCTTAGGTAAGACAGGAGCTGAGGAAGGGAGATGTAATTCTTAGGTTCAGAAGGTATGCTTTTTTCCAATGAGATGTGCCTTGTTATTGAAGCCATCTGTCATTCCCCACTCTTTTCCCACCCAGCCCCAACACAGAAAACCTGAGCATTTTCTCATCTCTTCTCTGCTCTTAACAGAATGTTTTTGCTCCCATAAGTTTTGATACCATTGAGATGGTAAGGACACATGAAAAGGAGTCCTCCCTCAGCGTGCCTTCAGCGGCTTTATTTGGCTCCTAGTGCAGGCTTTGAACCAGGCTGCCAGCGAGCCTTTTGTGCAGCAGTCATTGTCATGCTTCCCACTCACAGGAAGTCATGTGGGGAATGAGACGGTATCAATTTTCCCCTTGCATCCACATTAGTGGCATCTCACTCTTAGTAGATAAAACTTTTTTTTTTTTAATTCTTTTTTTTTTTTTTTTGAGAGGTTTTCGCTATAGGGCG